ACGCCTAAGACAAATACAGTCTGTCCCCTGTCCAGCTCCCTGATTTTGCTGTTTTCCTAACTACCTCTTTGCCTCAGCCAGCTGGACAAGGGTCTCTTCAAATTGGGAGAGGCCATGATGCACCGGCTGCCTCCAGGCTGAACACTCAGATGTCAAGGTTTCCCATCTGTTGAGGTCCATTCCTAAGGTCTTCAGATCCCACTTGAAGATATCCTTGTATCGCAGTTGTGGTCTCCCTCTGGGGTGATTTTCCCGCACTAAGTCTCCATGCAGGAGATATTTTGGAATCCGATGGTCAGCCATTCTCACAACATGCCCAAGCCAACATAGATGTTGCTGTTTCAGTAATGTATACATGCTAAAAATTCTAGCTTGTTCCAGGACTATTCTGTTTGGAACTTTGTCCTGCCAGGTGATACCAAAAATGTGTTGGAGACAACACATATGGAACATGTTCAACTTCCTCTCCTGCCATGCACAAAGGGTCCAGGAATCACTGCAGTACAGGAGTGTACTCAGGACACAAGCTCTATAGAGCTGGATCTTGGTATATGTCATCAGCTTCTTATTAAGCCATACTCTTTTTGTGAGTCTAGAGAACATGGTAGCTGCTCTGCCAATGTGTTTATCCAGCTCAACATCAAGGGAGAGAGTGTTGGAGATCATTGAGCCAAGGTACACAAAGTCATGAACAACCTCCAATTCTTGTGTGGAGATGGTAATAGAGGGAGGTGAGTCCACACCCTGGCCCATGACTTGTGTTTTGTTCAGGCTGATTGTTAGTCCAAAATTTTGGCAGGCCTTGCTAAAACAATTCATGAGTTGATGGAGGTCTTCAGCAGAGTGGGCAACAATGGCTGCATCATCGGTGAAGAGGAAGTCCCATATGCATTTCAGCTGGACTTTGGTCTTCACTCTCAGTCTAGAAAGATTAAAGAGCTTTCCATCTGATCTAGACCAGAGATAGATACCTTCTGTTGCAGTTCCAAAAGCGTGCTTCAGTGTGACAGCAAAAAAATGTATGTAATGGTACAAAACATGCAAATTAGAAGGCTGTGTTGCAAGTATGAAAACGGGCATTAACTGCATATTAAACAGCACGCTCTAAATACAATGCATTTCATGAGCTAATGAGCAAAAAATGTATATTTTGCTTTCTCCCTCTCTACCTTGCATTATGATTAATAAATGTAAAATGTGATTCTGGTTATGGGCTGCTTGATTGAGAAAGATGTATTCTGTCCCCAAGACAGCTTATTTATATGCACTTATTTATGACTAATCACTTATTGACTTCAGTGTGTGTGTACCATCTCAACAGGAACAAGCATAACTTCATGGAACAAACATATCTCTCAAATCAATTTGGTATCCGCCTGATCTGGAAACCCAATCAAACACTGTATACAGCTTGGAAAAAAGACAAGAATGCATTATTAACTCTGGACTATATAATAAATTAAAACTGATTCATCCTTATTGAACTAAAGCAGAACCAACTCACCAATTTTTCTGCCTCCAAAAGATCATTCCTGAAACAGAAAAAAAACCCCAACCAAACACTACAATAGTGTTCACTCCTCTACACTCTCTCTTCTATGAGGGATTGAAAACAAAACAGCCAACATTATAATGCCATTGTACAAAATGCTAGCAAGACTGCACCTGGAGTATAGCCTACAGTTCTGGTCGCTGCACCTCAAAAAAAGCACAGGGGAACTGGGAAAGGTGCAGAAGAGAGCTGTTAAAATGATGACTGGGCTGGGGCACCTCCCTTGTGAGGAAAGGCTACAGCATTTGGGGCTCTTTAGTTTGGAGGAAAAGGCGCCTGAAGGGGGGGGAGACATGATTGAAACGTATAAAATTATGCAGGGGATGGATGAAGTGGATAGAGGGAAGATTTTTTTCCCTCTCACACAATACTAGAACCAGGGGACATCCACTCCAACTGAGTGTTGGGAAAGTGAGAACAGACAAAGGAAAATATTTTTTTGACCCAGCATGTTGTCAGTCTGTGGAACTCCTTGCCACAGGATGTGGTGACACACTCAACTCCAGGATACACCTTTGGACAAAAGGAATAGTTCAACTGCAAACTGAAGTAGGAGGGAAACAGGACCTTTGGAAGTGGGTCTGGCAACCAAGTGTTGAAAGTTTCAAATGGATCAGTGGTTCCCAAATTTTGGGTCCCCAGATGTTCTCAAACTACAATTCCCAGAAATCCTGGTAATGGTAAAGGCTTCTGGGAGTTTTAGTCCAAGAACCACTGATAAAGGAAAGGATGAAATCCCATTTCCTTTTCTGGATTTAAATACTAAAACCAACCATTTCACGTATCATTTCGAATCAGACCTTTGCTCCAACTGTACTCTGTAAAAATGTATCTGTCAATTTTGACTATGGATAATGCAAGACAGAAAATGGAAGAGAACTGCTTTGAAATCAGGCAAGTGTGATAGTCAATGCAGCAGTTTTAAATTCATTTTATAGCTCGAGGCAACGTAGAGGGCCAGAGATAAAAAGTTTGTTATGAATAAGATGTACCACCAGCTTTGAGTTTGCTTCTCAGATGCATTTTAATGGAATGTGGGAAGACACAATTGTCATATGTTTTATTTCCAGAGGGTGAGTATCCATTCAAGGAATGAGCCTTTTGTATTATTTATTTAACATATTTGTAAGCTGGTTTTCTATATATAGTTTCCCCAAGGTAACAATCCAGCAGGGATCAAAAATATAATATACCCAGCAGAATCATTTTCTTTCCCGCAGTAGAAACGGCAGTTGTATGCAACAGAGGTATTTAGATGTGTTGCCCACCTTCTTAGTGAGCCGAAGACAAAATGGAACAAAATGGGGCAAAGATGCTCTTTTATCCTCCTTGGCTTCCTGCAGCTTGACTCAAACACTGGGCCGCTCCCTGCAATAGATCTACAAATTGTGGTGCACGGAGATCATTTTAGACCCTGCCCTGGACTTCATATTCGTATTGTATGGTGCCTGTGACGGACAGGCCAGAAATCACATCTGTCCATCACAATGGAACACTGATTCAGTAGCCAATGGTTGTGCAGGAGGGCGGAACCAAGGAATATAAGAAGAGAATGGAGGACAGTTATAATCAGTTAGCGTTTTGGTTAGTCAGGAGTTAGGGAAAGAGTTAGGTACTTGGAAGAATTGTTTTGGAAAGAAACCCTTGGAAAGAAACATACTGTATAAGAGAACTGAGTGCAATGAAAACTATAAGAAATAAATAAATTGTTTTAAAGTGATTGAAACTAAATACAAAGTAACCAGCATATTTCCAAGTTAAATGAAGTTTAATGAATATCAAATACAATATCATCTATGATTTCCTTGAGTCTTAAATATGTTAATCTGTTAATAAACAACGTTATATTTGACACGACTGATTCTGTGGTCCTAATTGGTAATTGAGGAAGGATTTTCTCTGGTGGCAGCAGACGTGGAGACAAGAGAAATTGTCATGCCCGAAGGCAAATCTGTTTGTTAGGGAGAACATACAAAGGAGTTGTTCCCTGGAATAGATCTACAAATTGTGGTGCACGGAGGTCATTTTAGACCCTGCCCTGGACTTCATGTTCTTATTGTGGGTTGCCTGTGTATGTAGGCTTGTAAAGAGGAGGAGCTTTAGAAAGACATATTTTCCATACACTTATGATGGGACCCAATTAATATTTTCCTTGCCACTGACCTTCCATCCCTTACCGCTCATGTTTAAAATAGAGAAGAACAAAATAACAAAACAAACCGATTGCTGTTTGTAGTGGGGTGGGATACGCTGATAATGAGCCTTTTTAGATTTAAAACTCACATAACCCCAGGACTCAGGGAAATAAATTGAATTTCCCTGTGCTGCCCCGATGCTGCATGAATTTACGTACATAAAAAGCAGCATCCCCTTAAACAAAAAAAGGATAATGCATCAAAACCAAGAAGAGCCCTCTGACTATAAAAGGCTATATCCATTCATTAGTCCCACTGAATAAGTGCAATTTGCACTCGATGCGTAAGGACTTTTCCAAAGTCCCGTTCATTCCGTGAATTTGTCCTAGTTGGGATGAACGACGGGCTGGAGCGCAGGACCCGCCTGGCGTCCCTTCGCCTTCAATGGGAAGTTGCTCCTGGCCGCCTGCTGACTTTGCCCCTTCGCCGCCTGCTCCTGTCTCGGGGGTCGCGTGGGGGGGTAGTTGGGTCACGCGGGGTGCTGCTGCGCCCCTGGGTTTCCACCCCAAGGTCCACCCCTCGCATGCGCCCCTGAGGCGACATTGAGAGCGCGGTCCTGCTGTCAGGAAGTGGGGTCATTCACTCGAATCGAGGGAGGCCTCTTCCTAC